ACACGATGCACAACGACGGACGAAAACGGATAGCAATAGGTCACCTGAGTGACTCAGGTGACCTAAAAAAATAGTTTTGTTTTTCTTACCTGTCTGATGAACTCTACAAAGGTTACAGGCATATGGGTATTATCAGTGTCAAAACTCTCTGTTGATGACCAGACTGTATGCTGCACTGTAAAACTGCCATTTTGGATCTTTAAAAGGAGAGACTGCTCCTGAAATCAAAGAAATTGTAGTAAAAATAAGTAACCTGATTTTGCTTTAAGTCTCACACAAGGAATAATTTCACTATATTTTACTATATATAAGCTTTAATCAAATTAATTAATTTACTTGACTCTCAGCAGATAATTCATGAAATAGAAAATAAAAGATTAATGCTTATATAGTCAAAAATTTGAGATCAGAAAAAATACCCCTTATGCAGCTTTTAATAAAGAAAATTGACAGTAAATATTCTTACCCTGAAATACACGTGGGTTTCAGATGTTGACAAACAGCCTATACACACCATTCAGGAAGTTGCATCATGCGCACCTAAAAAAGAGTTCCCTTGAATTTAGTGGCACAATTCTGCTAAAGATATGATATTCCTAGTATATGAGTCCAAAATTATGTTATTTCATTTAAAAGTTATTAAAACTTCAATTTTTTGGCGGGTTTGATTGACACATCCTTTCACAAATTTTAACTTTATTCTTAATCCTTAGGAAAAGTGGCAATTTTGATATGTTTTAATGAGAAATATTAAAACTTTTTGTGCTCAAATATCCGACAAACAAGTAATTAATTAAACTGATGTGGTCTAATGCAGAAAATTTGTTTCTAATGATAAAGATATGAGTTAGAAATTTTTTTCTAAGGCCTCACCAATAAAATTTCTTGTTCGTCGGACCCGCCCGCTCGTATTTTAGAGAAACGTAAAAAATAATATTATTTTAAATTTCCCGCTTCCGGAAATTTTCGTTCCATTTCCCGCCCCATTTTTCATTTTATTTTAAATACTCGGTTATGTCTGCGTTTGGAAATGAGAAGAAAACTTCACATTTCGTCAAAAAACGAGACAACATTGATCAATTTGCATGAGAAAGGACACTTGACACTCTGATATATTGACTATTGAATTAATAATTTAATATGACAGTATATGTCGTTAGAAATCAGCGCAAACAGGTGATTGGGGTGAAACCACCTGCATTCGTCATTAGCTCCAATGATGCACAGTTGCACGAACTTTTTAAAGCATGCTTTTAGAGATACGACAAGGAAACAAGTAAACCTTATAACGCCATCGTGATCGTGGTGAACTGTGAAGATTGGATAGCCCCATGCAAAAGTGAACTGCCTATATAGGCAGTTATTAGGCAGTTCTTTAGCAGTTTTACTAATTTTTGGCAGTTTTCAAACAGTTTCATGCAGTTTGATTTTTACTGCTCCCTAGTAACTGCTAGGACCTTGGGAGTAAACAGTTTTCCTTAGCAGTTTTTAAGCAGTAATCAGTTTCCCTAGCAGTTATATCTTAGCTGCATATGCTTGAGGACAAGACAGTTTCCTAAACAGTTTTGTAAGCAGTGTATAAGCAGTTTCCTTGTATAATTTGATTGGGTTCAAGAGAAATTTAATGTTGGGCTCAATGTTCCAACAAATATAACAAAACAGGAAGCCAACAACTGACCGCCAAAATTGAATTCTGGGTGCCAATTTGTATTGTTGGACAAAGGCTACATAAACCAATGAAGAGGGAGCCTGCTGGCCATAAGCTGCATTTAGATTTAATGAAGAAATGATGTAGTCATTTAACAATTGGTAAGTTATTACTACAATATATTTATGTGGCCTTTAACAGTCCAGTCCAATACGAAAAATCGTAATATTACTAAAATTCGTAATATAAGCAATTTCTAACTCTTCTAAGAGTTACTTCCCTTTTTTCTGATACAACCTGCTTGTTATGTTTCATGAGAAATTATACGTCTCTGGTTTCATCAAATCATCGTGGATATGCATGCATTTTCTTTGTTTTGATGCATTTGATCCAAGTGCATGCAGAGTCAGAGCCTAGTGAAAGTTGTACAAGTTATATCCCGTAACATCTCGTTGTTGGAGATGAGGGTCTGATTTTTAGGGTAGACTTCGGGAATAATATAGGGAATTCGGGGATTATAGAACACTATGACAAGTTTTAGGATACATTGACGTTTTATGGAAAATTGTTCCCATCCCTGGGAAAATTCTTATATAAGAATAATAATACAAAATTTTCACTCACCCATTACTATTGTTACTTTCTTCTTGCATTTTCATACTTTTCGATAGACGTCACTGACCAAAATGACCACGTGATACTAGTACCATTGGGGCATAATGTATTTCTGACGTCATACTTTCCTTAACATCATTCAGTTTCTTTCAATGCTTAATTTTGTCTTACATTACGAAAACTCGTAATATAGTCTCTCACAACATGCTATATTACGAGTTTTCGTAATTTAACTATATTACAAAAAATAGTAATATAAGAATAATATTACGATATTCTGTAATATTACGATTTTTCGTATTGGACTGGACTGTTTAATAAAGAGATTAATTGAATACATGTTCTGTTCTAATTTTTTGTTTGAATTAAGGGCATATATTAATAATTGCAATCTGTTTCATGATTAATTCCTTTCCATTTACAGACTTTTAGAAGAGGAGTGGGACAAAATTCTAGTTGGCATATACACAAATTTTTGTGTCTCTTTCAAGAATAACAACTGAGATCAATGGATGATCTATAAACCTAGCTGAGCAATGAATTATTAAGATTACCAAAAGAGTGCCAATTGAAATACTTTTGTGGTTTATATAAGGATAGAAAAACCCAACAATGTACTGGCCTTTAGTGCAATAGGACTGCTGTATGATCAGGACTTAATGTGGGATGAAGTGGATATATTTATTGCTGTTACTTAATTTTGACATTTTAATTTTACCTTCAGTGTTGAATCTTGTTGAGCATCATATGCCCTGGGATATATAAGTTTTCTAAAAAGTCAGTGAGTATAACTGCATGGTTGTTTGTGTTAATAAGATACATGTAAAATTACAGATGCATAAAAACAGTACTATAGTGTTTAAATTTTTTTAAAACATTCATCATAGCAATCTCTGATTGCTTGATTGTGTAGTTAATCAATTGTACAAAATACAATAAATTAAAATGTAACAATTGATCTATTATTGCTATGTATTAAAAGTTTGATACGAGAAGACCTCTTCGTGACTCATTAATATTTATGTGATAAAAGGGAAATAGATAAGCAGTATACTGGAAGTCCACAAGCAGTTAGCAAAAACTGCTAAAGTAACTGCCTATGAACTGCTTAAGTAACTGCCTATGAACTGCTAAGAAACTGCCTATGAACTGCAAAGAAACTGGTAAGGCTAAGAAAACTGCTTATAAATTGCTAAAGGTTTGTTCATCCATCAGCAATCTGGGGAAGGTTAAGTAACTGCTCTAGGACTGCTTAAATGTTTAAACTGTTAAGGCTAAGAAACTGCTTAATAACTGCCTTCCACTTTGCCATGGGTATAGAGCAGATCTGTTATGTTTAAGGCAGATAAGGCCATCATGGACATAAATCAAATTCTGGAGATGCCGAAATGTAAGTGCAAGGTATCAACATTATTAAGATTATTAAAAGATGCATATATACATTTTTTTCTAATTCAAAGTATGTATTAAAAACTTTTAACAAGTTGCATCTATTTTATTTTAGGGAGATTTGTTAGCTACTTGACTTATTTATTTGGAATGTTGAGTGTTAAATTGAAGCAACTAGTTCCAACAAGATTGGGTGATTTTTCCTGAATTTCTACAGTGACAATAAACTGTACCTAAACAACGAGAACTGTTCATATAGTGCAGACTTATATCAGTCATTCAAGAGGGTCTTCAGTTGAACCACACTGATAGTGCATGAAAATTGTAGGTAGAAAATATTTCCATGAAGCAGTATAGAATCGTTTCCGTCTCCAGCAATTCTTTAACAGATTCCAGGTTTACATGGACTAATTCCTGGAGCTGTTGTGGATCAGCCAGAAGAAATTAAAGTATCCATCGTCCTAAATGATCCGACGAAGTAGCTTCCCATAATTGGCATGATATTTAAACATCTTCGATACTTTATTTAAAAATATATATCAGTCAACTCTTGAGAATAGAAAAACAGTTTTGATTTTAATGATATTTTCCCATTTTTTAAATGATGTCCAACCTTGTTATTTTTATTATATATTTGTGAATTACTATATGTATTATAATAATAACTTATCACTGCTGCCATGAATTGGAATGATAAATAGTAATGAGACACACTTGTTGAAGGTTCTACAATGTCTGATTTTTTATTATGTGAATTAAAATTTGGGGCCATATTAAGCTTCTGATATTGTGCATAGATACAGTTAAATGATAATAATAGAAGTGCTGCTGGAATTGACCACTTTTATGTGATTGTACATAGTCTTCATCACATCATATTTTGTTATTACTGTTTTCAAACATACATGTAAAAGATGGAGGTAATAAACACTTTTGAACAGTGATAAATCTCATAAATGTATATGTAGTAAACAAAGAAAATCTTGTACAGGGCAAAAACATGGACCCCTGATAACACCAAAGGTTTGGGGTGCATAGGAGAGTTAATATTCTATATTACTTGGAGATTTATTTACAGAATTTTGTACCTTTATGAAATGAAAAACCTGCATTAAATGCCCTAATGATACTCTATTTTTTGAAATTATTATTTTACATAAGGAGTCAAGTCATTTAATATGTAATAAAAGTGAGAAACCATTGTAACAGTATTGTTATGACTGTTTTGTTTATGTAAGAATACAGTAAAACACGGTTATAGCGAAGTCCTGGGGACCTGTTAATTTAATTCGTTATATCCGTAATTTGTTATATCCATATAACGAATTCGTATAAACATATATAGCGAATTCGCAATATGCATGTTTTCCTTCAAGTGTTTCATCCAAATATGTTAGGGAAGCAAAAATTACAAAACATACCTTCGATAACTAAGTTTTTATTAGACATTTCCAGTTACGAGCGCCACGAGCTCGGACTCGTACTCTGTACTTCAATATATAAGGGGCTGTATCAAAAATTTACAAAAGGGGTTTTAAGGTAGACAGATTTTATGCCATTTTCCCCGACAAATTATAAAAAAAAAAGCAAAGACAAATTTGATACTAGTATAGATTTATCATTTGTTTTCTTTTGCATGACAAAGCAGTGCAAATATTGACTGTTTGTCTTATTTTCTAACTTTGATGCCTCTACAGTAGTGTAAGTGCCTATGGCACGAACAATTTTATTTCTCGAATAACATGTTGTACATTTATTCTGTGTATATTTACTTTTTCTGTTTAATGACCTGCATTGTCGCTGCTGATTTACAGATCTTCTAGGAATCTAAGAAACTGTTTTTGTGTGTTTTTAAATATATCAAATTTTGACACGGTCCCTAAAAATTTTGTTACAACTGTCCGAGTCAGTGTGCGAGTACGATCTCGAGTCCGTGAAATCTGGAAATGTCTATTATGAATTGAATTTTATATACAAATGCTGAGAGAAAATAAAGTCAGTTCAATTATTCAAATTTTGACATCTTTGAAAGTTTGTTATAGAAGATGTAAAAATCGTTATATTTAACCTCAACGGGACTCAAAATCAGTTCGCTATATCCGTAAATTCGTTATATCAGAGTTCGTTATAACTGTAAAATGTTACAAAGATTTGTTAAGAATTTTGCCGGGGACCAAGAAAAACTTCGTTATATCCGTGAATTCGCTATATCCGTGTTCGTACTAAACGTGTTTTACTGTATATGGAAAACTGAATGTTTTACATGATCAGGGGAATTGGAAAAGATTTCATAGTGATTTACTCTAGAAATGTAAAGGAAAACAAAAAATATATAATCGCTCGCTCCATTATTTTACTTCACTGCCTGGAAATTATGTTGATTAAAAATGATAATATTATAATTATCAAATCGCTCGCTCACCCCAATTTTTAGGGGTCAGTTGTCCGAAGAACAAGAAATTTTATTGGTGTGGCTAAAGCATGTCTTATAAAAGGTGGCATTTAATGGTCTAAATTCTTACCTTGGAAATAGTGTTGCTTTGTATTTCGGCAGACATGTTGAAGTGAATAATTTTTCTGGGATTTTCATTCAAATTATTTGATGAAATTTCAATTAAGTCCTTGCTTTTTGTATTCCCTCATCTACAAATAAGTTACATGTACAATTAAAATGTTAGTAATAATTTGTGAACATTATTTATGTATATTATATTTTAAAAGTTTGTTCTGGATTTCACAAAAATACAAATGACAACCATGCCACTAATAGTGCACAACTTCAATATTTATTGGTACATATAATAAATAAAACCACTGTTTTCATAAGTAGCTTATCTTCTCTCTTTAAATATACATGTCTGTACATATGTAAAAAGCGTACTGTAATGAGTGATAAAAATTCTCATCTGGATTTTAATTTTCAAGTCATTACTTAAGAGATTAAAATAAATATAATTAAAGGAGGTGCACCGAAGATGTTAAGTACAGTCCTGCACGTCCACAAGTACCTGTGATATAAACAGGTCAGCTAGGGCATAAGTAAACTTGCTGACTTAATTTCATTCATACAGAACCTCACCCTCTCCCTGCCTCATTAGCAGTACAATTACACTTCTGTGTGTTAATGTCTAAGATTAGTTTGGGCTATACTGAATAAATGTTAGTAGTTGTTAGCTAGCAATAAAAATATAATCAACTTCACATATGTTAACCTAATCCAGGGACTAATTTAATGTATAATATGTGCATGATAATTTCTTGTAACATGAAAGAACATACAGTCTCTTATAATCAGTAATAATACTAAAACATCAGAAACTTAAAAGTTTTATGAAAAAAAACTGACAATTTGTGAATATACTTGTCTTTAAACAGGTCCAGTACAATCACTAGATTTAGCTACGTACGTAGAATTACCTGAGCTAAGCTTTATTTACCTACCTCAGGTAGCTTTATTCAGCTATTTCAATGAAACTATTTATAGTTTTTTTTTATTAAAAAGAGACAAAAAATGCAATTAAATGAATATTAATATCTATCATCATGATCATGTGTTTATACTAGCATTTTTAAAAAACAACCCAAAGCAGAGATAGTTTATACATTACTGCTGTACTGACTCAAATTCAGTAAAATAACCAGTCATCAAGAAATAGGACGTTTATTCTGAAAGCATGATGAACATGGTAAAAAACTAAAACACCAAAAAAAAAAAAAAACAGATACTTAGTACAACATGAATCACAATCACAATGTACACTTGTAATAGACAATAATAAATGTAGTACTAATATTGCAAGTATACACTTTCGACAGAAATTAACAAGTTAATTGTTAACAAATATTTGCCTAGAAACATTGTAGACTAGAATGGACCTACATGTGTATGACTAGGAAATTCGGAAGCCAAGAATTAACTCAAAACATAACTAAGACAATAATCCTGACATTAACCATTTAACACATACTTTCGGAAACACACATAAGCATTTTATACAATGAGAAAAGACCAAAACAACACTTACTCCATGCTGGATCAAATAACAGTGCGATACACAAGGAACGAGCAATGTAAACAATGATATCTTAACGTACGTATGACGAAGTAAAAGTTAAAACCTATGACGTATATGTTCCGTATTTCCGGAAAAGTTCTAACTTGGGCCAGCACAGCTGCGTTTGGACAATTCGGAGCAAAACATGTAATTCAATTGTTTGGTAATTAACTGTCCTCTCTATTGGGTGCGATGAGACATGACTGAGTATGATTACTTCACATTGTGCTGAATTATTATGGAGCTGGACTTCTTTGTCATTTCATTCAAGGAGTACGTAACTGTTCTAATTGTCATACATAGCCCCAAAACTTTCAGAATTTTGATTGCAATTAGTATTACGTAGAAAAAGTCAATGCTTCGATCAAGAGTGACTTTTTCATGAATTGTTTTCAGATGAGTTCAACATCAAAAATAATCACTGTATCAAAACAAGATTTTCTGCACATCCCACGAAAAATTCCCCATTTTAAATAAATAAATTGATTTGGTAGCAAAACAAAGCTACCTCAGGTAGATAAATAAAGTTAAGTATATAGGTAATTAAATCAAGCTACGTAGCTAAATCTAGTGATTGTACTGGCCCTGTTAAACTTGAGTTAGACAAACTTGTTGGGTACACCTTAATTGGCACTAACACGATCAGAATAAATCAAGACATGACTTTCTCAGAAATTAAATACATGTATATCCATTGTATAACTAAGAAAACAGCCTACCTTTTTTCCAGTAAGAGAATATGGCTTTAAAAGTAACAAGGGATCCAATGCCTTTCTCTTTATGTAGGCAGCCATTACTATCATCTGATTGGATAATCTCATCACATGTCACAGCTGTTTGGAACTCTTCTAGATTTTTCATTTTTGGTGATAAAACCAAAGACATTCCGAATGTATTCAATTTCAACTGACAGGAAAGTCCAACAGTTGGACTAAATTTGACAGACAAATCTCAGACAAATATTTATTGGGTACATGTCATGAAACACCCAAGTAATGCCTCTGGAACACAATGCAAGTAATTGGCTTATTGGGTATACCCAACAAGCCGAAAGTACCCAATAAGTGTTACAAGGGCAAAAATCATACCCAATTAACTCTTTGCCTATCACGCCGTCTGTGACGTAATAGTCGCATTACATTTGCTACTTTTGATGACGTTATCCTTTTCCCCACAGCGCACTTGCGATAACGTGCTGAAAAGACGTGGTTTTGCAGATGAATATTACACGACGTGTTTAGCAATGGTTGTCGTGTATATGGCCATTATATTAGTGCCCCCCCCCCCTTTTTTTACATGCATATCAACTTTATCAAAACTTGCAGAATCTTCAATTATAAATGAAAATAGATATGAGGTCTTGCAAAGAATGATTCTCACTTGTGAAGATTTTTATGAAAGTTATTTTACCGATTTTTTAGGAAAAAAAAAGAAGTTATAGCTTTCAGCATATTTAATTTTACTTATAAAGAGTTTTTACGCAAAAAAATATTGTTGGAATATATCGCTTAATTTTATATTGAACAATAAAGAAGGGCATTGATTGTCTAAGGAAAACATTTCATTTTTTAAGTTAAAGTTTAACTGATCACATCTTTTTAATATTTTGGCCGATATACGAATGAGATACTGCCGTCGGACTCGGCATTAAAACAGCGGTCGGTACTCGACATTTTTCCGGATGGTGCCCGAAGTATTCAGAGTGTGGAGCAAATCAAGGAGTATTCCTAAAAAGTTTTCTTTGGAAATGCATTAAATGTAGCTGTAGTTATTGAGAAATTTATGTAGTAAGTATTTCTACATTTTCTCCAAGGGTTGTCAAAGGAATACATTTTGCCCTCAATGTCAGATTGAACGCAATGAAATTTATGAGCATGCAGCGTCGATGTAGACGAAACCTGTTCATTTGTAGAAAAAGAATAGTGTATGTAAAAAAAAAAAATTGCAGAAAATAATGTCAGACTAAGAAACATGGTATACAATAGAAAATTAATCAATCACTCAGGATCTCTTAAGAGTTGGTGCGTAGTAGATATACAGATTTTTCAACATCTATACTTTTGTGATTGCTCTGTTATCCTTATGATCATCATATAAGTAGAATATACAAGTTAACGGCATTAAAAAATAAATGATTGTGTCTGTAAAAGATATGCAATTCTGACCGAAATAAATGTTCATATAAATTACGATGGATAATGAACAGATTATTTCAATAATTTTATTTATTTCAGTAATGAAAAAATATATTAGTTAACTTTTATTTTCCGACATTTATGAAAGAGTATATTTAAGGTAATAAAACTAGGACTGAAGACTTTCCTAACTGAAAATCAAAATTGAACAATAAATCATTGACATAAAAAAAATAAAGGTAAGAGCTTTGCTTCGTTTTTAAAGAAAACCATAATAAATAATTCAAGTTTATTTGAGGTTTTTTTTTACCTATCGATTATTCATAAACTTGGTAGACATAAAACTCCCCCCCCCCCCCCCCCAAAAAAAAAATCGGAAACACCAAAAAAAATATCGGAATTGTTGAGCAGAATTCTTGATCTAATATATGAAGTAAATAATTTCTAATCAGTCCCTCTATATAACAACAGGCGCAGATCCAGAATTTTTTTTCCAAGGGGTTCCACCCAGTCAGCAAAAAAAAAAAAAATTCCAATCCAAAAAAAAATCTTGACAAGCAGAAAAAAAAACCTTAAATCGGGGTGGGGGTAGGGTGGGGTGGGGGATGGGGGATGGGGGGTTGGAGTGACTTCTATTGCCTCAAATTTTTCACTTTTCATACTCATTTCACACATATTCATGTTCACCAGGGGGGTCAGCGTTTTCCAGGGGGGTCCAAGGTGCCTTTTCTACTTGCTTTAGTAAATACAATTTTAAACGGTGTAAATTCAAGGGGGGTCCTGACCCCCCTCTAGATCCGTGCATGAACAAGCTGTTGATCAAAGAAAAAATGCCAGAAATGCTTAATATACCGGTAATTCCGGAGGTAGATTTAGGAAATAATTTAGATCGATTTTGGTGAAAAATGTTTTATCTCCCGACCCCCCCCCCCCCAAGAATGGAGTTTTTAGCCCCTAAATTAATGCATTGCACCTCATACATGTAACTCTACACTACCATTTGAATACAGTAACGAGTTAACTGTCCATTCACAATGTGTATGTCAAATGGCTTTTTCTGTTCATAACATATAGGCGTCGGAATCGGGGGGGGGGGGGGGGGGGGGGGGGGGCTTACCCCCCCCCTTTTGGCAAATATATATTACGTAATACATAGGCATTGAACATTGGGTTTGTTGGTTTATCCCCCCACTTTCAATTAGCCCCCCCCCCACTTCAATTTGCTTCCAACGCCTATATTGTATGTATAAAAACAATATAGCTAGTGGAAGAATCACATCAGATCGTATCGTTGTCTGATTATTGTTGTAAATTAATATTTACTGCCCTTTTAAGTGTTCTTAAAATTATCATTTCTAGTGTATGCAGTGTTGACAAACTTGAAGCTACAGAGTACACGTATACATGTACATATATACTGTATATTCTTAAACTACATACAAAAAGCGGATAAATGAATATTTTTAAATATACTGACCATATAAACCTACTCAAGGCGGAACAAGGAATATTCCTAAGGGACTTATCGGAAAACACATCTTTTAATTCTATTCACGCTCCGAAGCCCAGGAAAGGAAGGGGAGAATGGTATACTGTTTTACTGCTAGTAATGTGTTTGTCCGTGTATCTAGCTGTTTGTGTGTCTGTCCGTAATAAAGTTTTGATCGCAATTTTCGCAGCAGCTACTCATCAAAAATGCTTGAAATTTTAGCATATTCTTCAGTAAGGCATGCTTTATCGCGGCATCTATTTTTCTTAATCCGATGTCAACTGCCTGTTAATCTGTGCGTCTGTCGTACAAGACATAACTAACACATTTCCGTCGCAGTTTTTTTTTCCAGCAAGTACATATTATATATTTATATATTACTGATATTGCAGAGGCTTGAAATTTTAGCACATACTTTGTTACGGCATGCGATACATGTATGATGGGGTTTATTTTTGCATGAATCTGATGTCAACTTCCTATTTGTCCGTGCATATGCCCGTAATAGCTGCAGATCTGTAGCTCTCCGAAAAAAATATATTGATAGACCGGAGAGCTACAGTGCCACCCATTGAAAAAAAAACTGTATATTTATTGTGCACAAAAAAGTACACTCGGTTCTTGATTAATTCTTTCAAATTCTTGCATCAATTTCAAAAAAAGAAATATATTTTTTTTAAATCGTTTATCCTCAATCAAGTACTCTCATAGTTGACATCTGAACGAAGCATATTGGACCGAATAATCTTTGAAAACAAAATGGTAGTATAAATAAGAGAAATCGTCGATGATTACAATATCAGGAGGATTATTAAAAAAAAATTATGAGGAACGTTTGGTTGTGGAAACAGCGAAAGAATACGTTAGGAACACGGTAAGTAATATTTTTACGAAAACCGGTTTTGGAAACGTTGACTTGATAATGAAATCATTCAAATTTGAATTAACCTATACATCTTTTTCAACATGATATTGTCGTTTCTCTAGGGTTTTTCCCCTTTCTAATTGTGAATGTATTTTTTTATTGCTGTGTAAACTGCGGAAACAATAAAATTGTATTTTTATGAATTGTAATTTAAATTTAACAAGAAATAAGATTAAATGTAAATTAAAACAAAGATTTATTAAGTGAACCAAACATCTTTTCCTTCAGTTATATGAGTATGAATAACCATAATTTTTTTTGTGATTTTATCAATTCCTTCCTTCGATTTTTGCACACATTTTTATCAAATATTTACATTTATAAGATCATTTGTCGAATTTGATAAATTCTGGAACATAGGTCCCATTTCACACAATATTGGGGGACGACCACATCATCAACCCAAGTAGTTCAAATGCATGGTTGGCTTATTTAGTGTCAAAACAAATACTTCTTAATTTGTCTCGCATCCCAAGTTTCGTGTACTAAATCAAACGACTCGGACATATTAAAACGAGGAAAAAATATTTTTATCTGCAAAATATATTAGAAGGGAATTAAAAATTTTTTTTCGTATCATTCATTGTCATACCATCAAAACTTTACGTGGCATCAGAGCAGAAAACGTCAAAAAACGCAAATTGCGTTAAAGTGCGTGATTGTGGGGTAAAGGTATATGCGTTAAAATGCGTGATTGTGGGGCAACGGTATATGCGTTAAAATGCGTGACTGTGGGGAAGGGGGTTAATGTCTTCTCGTGAGAGCAGACAGACAGACGGACGGACAGACAGACAGACGGACGCCGGACAAAATGTGATCAGAAAAGCTCACTTGAGCTTTCAGCTCAGGTGAGCTAAATAAATAAAAAATTGATATGGTCTCTTTCTGCCACATTTAAACATAAAGGAAAGCATTATATTACACGTACACGTACAATTTTAGAATGCTTTATATTCCTTTTTTAGACTCTTCAAGAACTGAAAGAGTATATAACAAAATACGAACCATTTGAGGAGTCGGAGGTTCCTGAAGCCAACATTCTACTGATTGGACAAGTAGGGGCCGGTAAATCCAGCTTCCTTAATTCCATCAACTCAATCTTCAAGGGAGCGATATCATCTCGGGCATGCACAGGGAGCGCTGAAAACAGCTTAACTAAAAGTGTAAGAAAAATAACCGATTGATAAAATATTTTTAAAAAATATTCTAATATCCTTGTACATTGTAAAAATTAGCATGTATAATAAATTTCGAATATTGTTGCTATAAGTAGTAAATCAATCACGCTCTATTATAATTATTTGAAATAGTCAAGTATAATGAACAACAGTCTGAATATCAGTCTATAATAGAATAACAAACCATTTCAAAGTTAAGTTAAACATTTCTGTTTACAAAGATTGATGAAATACACTTTGATTTCCTTTGGACATTTGAAACGTTTGGATAAGGCTAAACATCAAATATATTGATTTTCTTACAAAATTAAGAATTTTGTAAGAAAACGTAAAACTGTTGGCATGTTGTAATGATTGTAATGAGCATTAAGCCTTCCACCAAAAAATTGCGAGACTTATGCCCCAAAAGTCAGGAGTTCTGGAGTAAGGATGGGAATTAATTGTTAATACAGAGAAGATGCATAAGCTTTTGAAAAAGTCTATTTTCCTCGTGTATATTCGGAAATTGGTCTTAATGAGTATTTGGTCTTTTCCAACTGTAAATTTAGGGGCCTTGGTCAAAAGCTTTTTATGTTAGATAGTGTTCCTTTGATTTTATGGTTGAAATGAATCACTCTTTTGAAAATCTTTATCTAACAAACAAAAATCTTCATCAAGTAAACAAAGTACATGGTTAAAATGAGCAAAGGTGCTTCTTCAAGGAACTTTCTGGTCCCTGTATCTGGCATCTGTGTTACAGAAGTTTTATGAATATTTTAGCCTAAGGGGAAATACACTTATTTCTTGAAAATCATATTGTTTATTTCTGTGCATATAGGGGACAGAATACGATATTAACAAAGTCGTTTAACTAGATCTGTGTATTTTTACCACTGTGTCAAGGTGTATATAGGCCGAAAAATCTGACGTTTTTTCTGGCTTTTTACGATTTTGATATTTTACGTGCCAGGGAGGTTTTCCTGACATGTGAAATATCAAAATCGTAAAAAAGGCAGGAAAACGTCAGATTTTTCGGACTAAGGGGTATACAGTTTAGCGCACGAAAGAGCTCTATTGATCATGCAGTAGAAATTCTTCACTATTATTTTCTTCCTTTTTTTCTTACATCTTAGATTGTTATAATCGAAAGCTGTACATCCTTATTAGTTTGCTTTTCACTTCTTAATATATGAAATTTGTCTATTCGTTTCTCAGCCGTCTACTCCCTATTTTGATATCAATTAATAGTGATTAACAAATTAGTTGGAACTTCACTATATACAGCATCTGTTTTCCAATTGCTTTTTTTGTCATTGTGTCTTTCCCAGGAACCATAAATCAATAAAACAATCATAAAATGAATACTTAGTCTAGTAGTTGTAGTCTTTCTATTCATGAAAACAAAAATGATACCTGTAGAACTCTTTTTCTAAAAAGAAACTTTTCTTAAACTTACAGTTTGAAAAACTCCGAATCCGTGATCCGACAGCAAAGAAACATTTGAAGTTCAGGATCTGCGATACACGAGGAATGGAAAAAGCTCTTTCCATTAAAGAAGAAGATCTTCGATTTATGCTGGATGGAAATCTGCCTAATCATTACATTGTATGACCTTTTGGTTTCTTTTTTCCCTCAAAATTAATATTAAATACTGTCTTGTGAGAATTATTTCGAAAGTTAAACGATTATTATACAGTACTTACATATCAAATTGTTTTTTTTAGCTCAGCTATGCTGAAGGGTTGAATTAGTTTGTCCAGTCACAATTTATCATATATGAGTCTTTTCGACCGTCTATCTGCAAATTAAATTGTTACATTTCTCAATACCCATTTTGCTTATTTAACTAAACTTATCACAAAGCATTAATATTGTAAGGTATTTTTGCATATATAGAGCAACAGTTAGACAATTCAGAATACTTGGAAATTAAATGATATCTTTAAAACCGATTTACAAAGCACGATAGGTTATGCAATTGGATTAATTTTTAATTGCAATTTCAGCTAAAAAGTAATTTTATTGGCTATTATAGAGGGGTAGGAAAAACTATTTCTTGTCCTGATTTGAAATAACATGTTGACTTTAGCAGTTTGTAGTATTTATCAAATTCAATAACCGCCTAAATATGGCTGAAATATTGCCGACTTGGCGTTAAACAATATGAAATCAATCAATCAATCAAATTCAATAATATTAAGGAGAGATGATACAAGCTTTTATCAAATAAAATTGAAAAATAATATCTTTAAGTCATGTTTACTTAAGTAAAATAAATAAGTTTAACTATATATTTCTAAATTATTCATTAGAAGTTTCACATTCATAGGATTATCAAAAATAATTTTAAATATGTATTGATTTATATTGGTGGATGGTGAAATTTTAAACATCACAAGAAGCTAAACAAGAAGCTAACAGTTTCTTGATACTTTAGAAATTCATTGTGTGCATCATTTATAGTCAAAATAGGACCCAAAAGAACTATACAGACATCCATTTTTTGTATATATTATCTGTACTTTAACAAGATTTCCCGATGGTCCATGTTTTAGCCCTTTCCACATATTTGAATTGTTTGAAGATTTTATGAGATTGATTTCTGTTTGTTATCTTCAGCATGTTGCTTACTTTATTGTATTTCATATAGATTTAAAACCAAAGTGCAAAATAATAACTTGATGTATTGAACAGAGATCGTTATTTTATTTACATTTCTTTTTAGTTCAATCCAGTTGATTCTGCGTCCGCAAAAGTTCCAGGTTTTGTCAAAGATCCAACATTGAAAGATCGAATGCATGTTGTTGTGTTTGTTATTGACGGAAGCACATTAGATGTTCTTCCGGAAGACACGCTTAAAAAACTCAAGGACTTCAAAACGATGGTAGTAGACAGGGGTATGTGGACTTTCTTAGAAAGTTAACTCATTGTATATAACATATTGCTCTATAAGGATATTCTCTTTTATATAATTATCACGACTTATTAATAAGGGGCCGTTTCTTATTAATTAATGATGCATTCAACAACAAAAAAAATATTTTTTTAATGAACTGTTTGTGAGGCAGTCTATGTTTAATAACAAATTGTTTTTTTTTTTTGTTTGCGATTACATTCTATTACTTACAATTTGAATACCATAGGTATACCTCAGTTAGTTTTACTTACCAAAATGGATAAGGTATGTGTATTTGTCGAGAAGGATATCAGCAATATGTTTGTGAGCGAAGTTGTAGAGGGCCTGGTGAACAAAGCTGCTGACGTCATCGGAATCCCAAGATCCCACGTACTTCCGGAGAAGAATTACGAAAAAGAAACACTTCTTAACACAAATGTAAACATTCTGGCTCTAGGAGCATTACGCCAGGCACTCTTGTTCGCTGATGACTTTCTGGAGAACCAATTTGAAATTGAACAAGAAAATTCAAGAAGCACTGATTCATAAACTCTATTTCGAACGTGTTCAGTATGCCTTTTTTTAAGAAAAAGACAAAAACGAAAGTGATTTGATGTTACATGTATTCTTTGCACGTATTTTCCAGTATTGTCATCTATTATTTAAACTCATCTTTAATCAACAAGTAACCAAAATGTCATTTGTGTTTAAAGAATATTGCATGAGTTGTTGAAATCAATATAATATGAGATGTCCCTCCCTGACAAAGTTAAAGTCCAAATTCTTGTCTCTTTCACTTCCGCGCATCTGCAACAGCCTTGATGCTCCTCTACTCTGGGTTTCAGTGTATTTATCTTTATATAGGTATAATTTTAACGACGATCGCAAGTAGCTGTTATCGTTTAAGAAACACTTGTTATTACCTCTTTCTTACAACAATCCAAACCCCAAGATCAAGTGGAGCTTCTATCAGTTTTACAATTATTGCATGCATTTCTAATTCATTGACTATTGTCGTCTCATTCTAGATTTTGTTGTTTAAAAATAATTGTTTGAAAAGATCAGGGTTTGTTTAATTAGAAATGATCATGTCAATACACTAGTTACATTATATTTTGTTTCAAAACATAAAAGTAAACTACTTTTCCTTTATGAATATTTCATACAAGAAATACAATAACCAATTTTTTTTCTTTTACTTTGTGTTTGTTAACCAATTTAACACAACAGGTGTTCTAAACGATTTAAAAGGTCGACAAAATGAACTACCTTCTATTTCATTCATTAATGATCGACAAGTAAATTGCACAAAAATAAAAAGGTTTCCAGAATGTTTTTTCAAACCCGGAACAACTCCTTTTCAAGAAAATCAGCTTAACAGGTGTTTTTCTACTTATGTTCAGCAGAAACACTAGACCAATACATTATAGTTCGGACAGACATTTATGTTAAAATTTAATTGTTCTTGTGCCAAAGTTTAGAATGTTTTTTTTTTCCTCAAAACCATTTTAACATGTCAACAGTCATGTGATTTATGTACACTCTTTTCTGGCTATTTGCTTTATTGATTTAAATGATCGAGCCATCACTGAATGGTGTTTGGTCTCAGTCTTGCTTTGTAAATGACAAATGTTGTCTATTGCATGTCGTTTTTGTCAAACAGTGTTTTTCAGCTGTATGATGTAGATTGCAGAACGTCACAGTTGAATATTTGTATACATGTATAATGTACTTGCTTTTTGTTATATGAACGGTTTTTGTTTTTCTTTCTCTCAAGAAGATGCTTGAGTTTCTGATTGACAATATCTATATGGTTTTTGGAGACCAGGTATTCCAACAATCTATTGGAAAACCTATAGGAACCAATTGAGCTCCATTATTAACAGACTTATTTTTGTATTCATATGAAGCAGATTTTATGCAAAATCTTATGCGTGAAATGAAGAAAACACTTGCTTGGACTTCAACTCGACCTTCAGATATATCGATGACGTATTGTCAATTAACAATGGTAATTTCCATTCGTACGTCGATGCGATATGTCCAGGAGAGTTGAGATGAAAGATACTACAGAGTCTGACACATCTGTTTCATTCTTGGATATTTTACTTGAAAAAGACGTTAATGGTAACCTAACAACCAAGTTATATGATAAACGAATGAAAAAGACGCCAATGGAAATCTTTCAACCAAGTTATATGATAAACGTGATGACTTTAACTTTTTTATCGTCAACTTCCCTTACTTATCCAGCAATATGCCTTCATCACCCAAATAAAGAGTGATTCAGTTGATTCGATTCGCAAGAGCATGCTCTACGTATATGTATGAACAATTTCTGAAATGAAGTAAATTATTGACAAACAAGTTGATGAAGTAAGAATATCGTCAGCCTCGTTCAAAGTCATTATTTCGTAAGTTCTATAGTCGGTAAAATGACCCTATCAGCAAATACAATTTATCACTGAGTCAAATGCTAACGGACGTTTTTAATACCAATAGTTAGTCCATTATTTATACACTGATTTGACGACGGATTTGTCCGTTATTTCCTGATCATAACAATGAGCACACAGTGGATGTGACCGGTCAGCAGGGGATGCTCACTCCTCTATGGCACCTTATCCCACCTCTGATATTTCAGAGGTCTGTGTCTGCTCTGCTCCTATTTTGTATTGGTTTATGGACTTTGAGATTGAATACTGTTCGTTGTTTCCATATCCTTCTCACAAAAAATGAGTGTTTCTGCTAGTCATTGTGCTTATAAATAACTGCATATATTATACAGACACTTTTATGATCCATTCTCACATACACAACTAGGATAAGGCTTTACTTAAAATACTGCAGTTTTTATATATCTACATGTACATTTAACTTCTTGGGTCCAGAAAATTATGCAATTTAAGATAAAACGGATAATCTTTTTTCGATATCCTTCTGAGGCTGGTCAGCTTGTTTTTCTTGGTTTTGACCAGTAGTTTCATTAGATGACCGATATCTATCATTTTCTTTTCAGGGTTTCTTACAGCATTTAAAATAGTATGAATTTTTATTGAAGAAACATGCGATATTTTTGTACATTTGTAAAAACAAGATTTTCCCCATGGATTTAAGGTAAATATAGGTGTATGAGACAAAAATATCAAATTATACATTGCAGTTTAATTGAACTTTGCGAAGACACTGACACTGACAGTTGACGGCTTACTTGGACATTTAATCCTGCGTCATGTACGGAGGTACAGAATTTAAAATGGATAGGGAAATATCCACTGGGGTGAATGTTATTGTTTTCGGGGCTTTGAAATAATTTATCAAAAAAATTATTTAGATACTTTATTCACAAGAATTAATGTATCCTTTTATTTTCAATAACTTAAGAAATGAAATAAAGAAGAAGCCACATTTCGTAGGAAAGTTTGGCAGGAATTAGTCAAGACTGGAATGGAGGTTGTTGAGGGTAGGAATGTTGCAGTTTCCCAACTAGACAACGAAATATGATTTTTGAAATAACCCGTTATTATCGTTTTCTTAAATGTTAAGATCAATATTTTTTCACACAAGTTTCCTGGTGTAAAAGTAAGCCGTCAACTGTAAAAGTCAATGTCTTCCCAAAGTCCATTATGAAATCAAAACTTATTGATTTGAAAAACATTTAAAAATCTTTTTCTGTTTTAGTATTAGTTATAATTGCTTGTTTTGTGTATCTTTGAGAAATAAGAACTGTTTGTCTGACCGATTTTCTACTAAAAAACAAAGGATTCAACACCTGGGGTTTCAATAAACTCTCGGTAAGATTAGCAGAATATCAAGGCTTGTTATAGGTGTATTTGGGTATTAGTTTTATACATCACCGACAATGCTGGTAAACAATGATATAATTTCAATTTTTGTAATGCAGGTATCGTTCTTAAATACATAAAGTATGAAATTTGATTCTAAATGTTTTAATTTTGAACGTAAATTGAAGTATTTACTAGGGTGATTTATACGTGAAAATTTATACAAGAAAACACTGAATTAGAATACATGTCATTGTTTTTATTTTTCAATAAAGATTCAAACATCAGATAAAGAAGCAAGTCTGTGAAGAAAAATCATTTACAAAATATACATTTTGCAAATAAATCCACCATTGGTAAATATGCTTTCAAATTAATATTGGAATCGGCTTTTCTCTTTAATTGTGAGATTTAATTTTAACTGATTCTCAGGGACAAAAAAGACAACTTTTATTTCCCATCAATGTATATACGGTAACAAATATTAATCTGAAGAAATCAAATGAACAAATCGATTAAATGTCGTGTAAAATAAGTGTTCTAAATATATAAATATCATTGTTATTATAACCAAATGTCAGTCTTTGAATAGTTTTAATATCCAAAGAACTAAAATGATTTTAAACTACTACATGTACCGCCCTCTGACAAAACCGGGTTTAATGACATATCTTTTGACGTTGAGAAAGAACGTGTTAATTGTGAATTCAAATTTTCGTGTATAAAACGCGAGTTTCCTTTTCCTTCCTTTCCACTCTCCTTTGCCCTTTTCCATTTTCAGAGTGAAAGTGTAAATGAATAAGTGTTATGATCGTCGTATCCTATATGAAATGTTTCTTTGGCATTCTGAAATATTTGCTCAAGATACTATCTGCTGAGGGGTATCCTGATAGAACTTACATTATATTGACTGTTTCCTGTGTAAAATTTAGATCTGCATTTCGCACACAGCTTGAAGATGAATTTACACAATATACAAATACTTTGATTAATAAAATAGCTCGATTCGTGTTATGCAAAAAATGGCCCCGAATATATACCAATTGATTGATTAACACTAGATGTTCCATTTGAAGCATTAAAATAAAATAGAGATTCAGTGCTTTCATTTCCCATAAAAAAAATTTCTCCAAAAACTCCAGGTCTTGGAGAACTGATTTTTTGAAATTGCAAGGTTCTTGAATTTTAAGGTAAATAGGTATATTTGAGTACTAACATTGAAGATAAATGTCTTAAAACATGTCTTTTAATCCTAAGAAACAGTTTTATCCTTTACTTGTTGCATATTTTAGATAAGAGGTTGCGCCCTATATTAGATTACCGAAAATAGCTTTGAATTGGCCGTTCTTGTAGACCTTTTCAGAATATGAGGAAATTGACCCATTTTGTGACGTCATTATACATTGAGTAGTCTGATAATTATGTCATTTTTGATGGATACGCAATCACCAAAGATCCAAGTGATATTCAATACATTGTTAACTAAATTTAAGCCGTTTCTTTTTTCAGAAATTTGCAGGGCCAAAAAAAAGGCCAAGGTAAGCCATGTTCTTTTGTTGAGTGATTTTTGCTAGATTTATATTATTATCCTAGGAAAATGAATAAATAACCCAACGTTGAAAGAAAAACAATGTGTCAAATTTATATTCTTAAGTAAACCCACCTCTATGAATGTTGCCTGAATTTAACCTATTCACCGGAAAATGAAGTTTTGAAATTTTAAAAGACCAAAGATAAAAACAATAAACTACTTACTGCGCTAAGAATAACTGAATATTTAAAAGATTTCTTAATGAATAATTTGATTATGATGCACTTCCGAAAGTGAATAGAAAGTAGAATTCCCAACATTCTGAAGTTTACTTTTTAACAATAAATGTACGTGTAATCATTACAAAATAAATTTGAACTCTAAAATGAAGCTTAAAAGGATATGAAAACTGTTGTTTCTACTGAATTTTTAAACCAATTTCAATGTTTGCAACTCTTTATTAAGGCATCAATTAGTGATCAGCAAATATTTGAACCTCATTTGATGATTAACAAACCAGATGCATGGCTTAAATTTCTTCATAATGTATACAAGGTATGTTCCTTGTTTTTGTTGACATATAGAATAAAATCATAGATGTAACAAATCACACTTCAACAAATCACTAGAAACTGTCTAATCGTATTAAGAATTAACATATTTGTTGAAATTATCTGGTTTGAAAGAACATTTATTAGTATATTAAACTATGTAACCAGAAACATGACATACCAAAGGTTTGAAGCTCTACATATGTCTTTTATCTTGACAACTGAAATTAAAAATTTGGATGATCATTAGAAAGAAGTTGGTTGAAATTTTGTAAAAATGAAGAAAAAAAAAATCAATAGGAAAATTTTTATCTGAAACTGTGTCAAGGTCCCTTTAAATGCCACGTGTCAAACAGATGCATCTCTGACCTTTTCAGTATTAACTTCCCTAATTATAAGCTGTTGATATAAATGAAAGCCAATTGAACGATTTCTACATTTATAGAAGGTCCTAGTTTTCGACGCTACATGTCAAACACAATGTTCGGTATAGCTATTCCTCTCATTTTGGTGCTGTTTGACACATGTGATTGCGTGAGTATATTTTATAGTGTATCATATAATCATTTTTATGATACTATATGCATGTATTTCCGTCAATGGTCCTTTAGAGTTGTTTTATAGCAAACAGTTTAGAATAGATTTTTTTTACATATAATACATTTGTAAAAAAAACTTAAAACAATGCAGCATTTATCTATTCGTCACTTTGACTTGTTTTGACAATTTGATTTACTACATTGTTAAATAAGTCATGATAATTTCTAAACACAAGTTTGACCATTTCCCATTTAACTTAATTATTTATCTTCAGTTGGTTTACTTTGTTGTTTTATATGTCACTTCAGTGATTATTCATAAACTGATTCATACAACCGTATAAAGTCAGCATTTCGTAAAAATATATGTACGTTAACTACATTGATTGCAAATATAAATTTTATTTGGTCATACTTTTAGCGGACTTATTTCAGCTTAAAGTTTTGGGTTTTGGCTTAATTTTAACTTGACTAAAGAATATTTCGTCTGCCTTTCCATACAAGAGGCACAGGGCGGGGGTGGCAGGTAGACAGGGGATACTTACTGCTCCTAGGCATCTGCGCCCACATCTGGAAGTTCAAGAGGACCGGTTTTTATGCTCTCTTCACAAAATTGTATTGTTGAAAGATTTTTTTATAGATCTGTCTTTGTTTGTTTTCTTAAAATTAGCTTTAAATTTGTGCTTGGCAGGATTCCCAGACTGTACGTGTTCTTGGAAAACCGAATATTAGACCCCTTTATCTGAATGTGTCCGAATCGAGTGATGCGAAGACGAAAACTGCGTATGGAAGATTCCACTGCCCCCCTGACACACAATTAAGGATATTTGGAGGGACAATTGTCACATTTGACAAAGGTAGGAGTTTTTATCGTTCTCTGCACGACATTAACAATAATTGTCAACAACATTAATTTTCACTCAGACTATGTCCAACTGACCAATTCAAACAAAGTTTAATTTCTATAGACACTTTAATTTATAATTTTAGATATTGATTTAAATTGCCAATACAGCTTTCTTAATAACAGGTAAACAAGTACAATCTAATGTACTATTGAGGCTTTTCAATATGAATGAATTCGATTTTAATAATTTGTATTATGCATTTCCTTGCATTGTCCTTTTTTGATTTTTTTTTATTACAGTATCGAAATCAAACGGTATCAATACCCTATGTGAACTAGTTGTCTATTATGAATCATGGTGGAGTCAACCAATACTTTCCCTTGAATCTGAATCTGTCTCTGAGGACCTCGCTATTCATCTCAACGGAAGCGTAAGCAACGGTGAACAAACTGAGTTTTCCGGAACCGATTGCTTAGTTGGAATAAAGAGGTCATCTGAAAAGCAAAGTACTACATATACCGCTGTTATTCAAAATTGCGACCCAAATCTCCCCATTGAAAGCACTTTTTACATTTGGCTTGAAAAATATAGTGGTACGGTTTTCTACCTTCCTTCAGACCCATACTGCTACGATTCAGATACCACGAATATGAAGAATCTGAAATCACAATGTTCGACATATGTATCCTTCGACCCATTTAACGTTACCTTCCATGAAGATAAAATGGCCGCTGACAATGTTAAGCTGAGAAGTAACAAGTTCCATCTCACGGGTTCTTGCACAGGTACATGCATAACGGTTAGGAATCAATGGTTTTTCTTAATAGTTTAGCTTTCCTGTGTATATTTTCACTGAAATAAAGTGCAAACCTCACAATCTATGAATCGTTATCTTTTAGGGAATTATGAAAAGGGAAATGCTGAATTAAAATCAAATGCAAATATGACTGAACAAACGGAATCTAAACAGTTTTTAAACCATATGTTACATAAATTCAAAATTTACAAAAGGATACTAATTCAAATTGATGACGTATAACTTTGATGACATAGCACCGTTGATGCCTCGAAAGAAAGTAGATCGTGTTTAAAATTTAAAATTTTTGCTATCTCCGTCTTTGAAAACATTGTGTGACAATTTCAATCAAACGAACTTCTGACTTAAAGTAGTCATAACCCTGTTTTCGTTAAAATTAAATATTTGGACGGTGGCCTTTTTTTTTTTTTTTTTTTTTTTTGCTTTTAATGACATCGTTCCTCTTTACCACTCATTTTATAAGGGCATGGATTTTTACAAATAAAAGTTTTAATAAAATTAAATCTCGAAGCGGGGGATCATGTCAACTCGGAAATGCTATTGATAAAGCGTCTACTCATTGAAAAAGCATAGGTTTATCCAACGACCTGTGTCATCCACATGTATGAGATAAGCACTTATATATACATTTACATTGATAAGAATTTGATAGAATTCGCTAAATCAAATCTACGCTAATTTGTATAAAAATCAATTTTTGCCAGATATCGTACACGCTATGATACAGTTACAGTATTAATAACTTAAAAAAAAAACCACGTACTCCATGAATTTTGGCTTAGAAGTTTTTCAGGGCAGCTCTGCTCCTAAATAATTCTTTGTGATAGGATGGGATGTAGGGAACAAATAAAGAGAGGATTTTTTAGGGACAGTTCAACATGCAGATTCCATCCCATTATTCCCGGCCGGCATTAACCATATACTGTTTACTGCAATAAACAGTAACATTTCATCATCAGATAAGATAAAATCATAACCCTGAATAAATCTATAGACTCTCGCTTGGAATTTTCAAATCAAAAATAGGGTCTCAACTTCCACTTTGGTATCATCAATATGAAGAAGAATCAAAGCACGGCGGCAGAACTTTAGCCGAAGTAGTACGCATACAAAAAATTGCGATTTGGGAGGTATTTTCTCTTTATAAACGTTATGGAATCGGGTGCCATTATATATATCCCAAAAACGGACAATATGCAAATGAGCAGAAATGAACATTATTTCTCCATATGAGAATTACGCTAGATCGATATAAAAGTCTTCGATATAAGCTGACCATTAGAAATTTCGGTGCGACTGGTGTGGTACTGTTTGATAGCTGTGTTCGTGAAAGTCCTTCATCACTTTATCATACAGTTGTTTTTTCATACCATATGCAATTTTTTTGTTTCTATTGCACTTCTTTTCAACTAAAGACAATTGTTTTAGTGCAAAACTAATACCTTTTTACGCAGGTGAGTTGCTATAATGGTTGTTAGCGTGTCATAAACTTTACACCTGATTTCAATTTGCATATAAAGTCTCAGAAAGCTAGTGTAAAATAAACTATTTTTCAAACTGAATATTTCAGACAATTTTGTTTTTATTCTCTTGCTAAACTCTCAGCGTGTAGAATATATATATGAAACTATAAGTTTGACATTAAGCCTTTTTCACACCCGTGGATAGATGTAGAATTTATCTAAGATCGTAATGTACGTCAAATCTACAAAAACATATTTCCCTTCAACTGATATTGCTAGGGATAATGTGTAATAAACAATTATCAGGTCTAGCATTCACCGAATCTTTGGTAAGTTTTTGTATCTATTATCTTCTATCCCTTGTCTAAACCAGTCTTTAACACAAGAAGTTTACTCTGAGTATCATACGCACATACTTCCATGATCCTGAGTGTTTCTCTTCCCGATTCAAGGTTATTGTCAGCAGCTGACGATGTCGCCGAGTCTTTATCAACAGTACTAGAATCAGCAGTGAGAACCTGTGTCATGATCGGCGGCAGTATTGTCATTAACAGTGACCTCGTTGCTGTCGGGAATGAGGCCATAATCGCCACCATCGTTGTACTTTTCCCCCATTCTGAAAAGTTCATCTTGCCGATTACTTAATTATAAGTAATTAAAGTTTTGATTTGACTTACATTGACTTTCCTGGATCGACTTCAAAACGTTCAGCACGTCCGTTTTAGAAATTAATTTCCTACGTGTAACCCTAACCCTTAAAACTACTGTTCCATCCAAACCAACCTGTTACCCTTGCGATATTATAAAGTAGTCCCGTGTAACTCGTTGAGACAGCTTTTGGACAAGACTGTAGTTTGACGAATCCAGGGACTGCTCTAGGACTGCTTTAGAAAACAAACATCCATGTAGACTGCTACAGGTATGTGGGGCGACTCTTTTACACATCCATAATAAAGTTCTGAGTCAGATATTAATCCCGCACTTTGTGTATTGCATATGCAGGTTCTCTGTCTAAAGTTTTTTTTATTATTATTATTTTCAGCAGAGATAGATTGATTCATTGTTTATTGTTTAACGTCCCTCTCGAAAATTTTTCACTCATATGGAGACGTCACCGTATGCCGGTGAAGGGCTTCAAATTTTGACCTGTACTTGGCACTCAGGGCCATTGAGCAGTGAGGGATCTTTATCGTGCCAGCGCCTGCCGCTGACACGGGACCTCGGTCTCATCCGAAGGAACCGCAACTTTCACTTCAAAGTGCCGAGCGCATGGCAAAGGAACAGTTGCTACCCATTTTAACGACTAAGTCAGTCGCTGCCGAGATACGAACTCACGACTTCCCGATCACGGAGAGAGCGCTCTACCGACTGAGCTACCGTGAACGGTTTTTCAGCAGAGAAGTACATGTGTAATTGAAATAAAATGGAAAAAAATTACTGAATTTTAAAATAGTATGGAAAGAGATTTTTCCCCACTTCCATGATTTGCATTGCCTTTACATTGCCGTTAAGTGTGCTCCGCGGGTACAAAACATGTTGATGTTAAAAAGGTTAATTTATTTCTGTTAAACCGAATGGAATGAAACTTCACACATCAATAAAACTAGTTAGTTTTTTTTTTTCTAAAAGAACCAATATATTTATGTACATTATTAAACCGGCGAACTCAGTTGTATAAAGAACAGTTAAAGACTTCAAGGGGCTGTAATATTTATACAATTGTAGTCTTCAATACATATTATCAGAAAACCGGAGCAGATTATTTTGTACGAAAGCCCAATGAGCTCATTTTCATAGGTAAAAAAAAATAAAATTTTCGTGTTATAACGCGAAACTATCGCAATATAACGCGTAACTTTCGCGAAAAAATGCAAAACTTTCGCGATATAACGCGAAACTTTCGCGAATAAACGCGTAATTTCGCGTTATAACTCGAAACATTTGTTGTTTAACCAACCATTTGCTTTAGCCTCAAATTTCTTTTGATTTTGTCATCAAGTTTATTCATTACAATGATAAGCAAAAGGCTATTTTGATCTTGGACTATAAGATAAATTTTAAGCTTTCTTGCTATTGAATCCATCTTTACCGTCACAATTTGTCTTTCTCAACGTTGTTCAAACAATTCAACATAAACATACAAGTTTATGCGAGTTTTCCAAAAGTTAAATTTCAAGATTATTAATTTCGGGGAAAATCAACCCTTTTTGGTGTCTTTTTATGCACTCTCTAGAGAATTTGAAATAACTTTACTTTATAGAGATTAAGATCTCAGAAAATTGACAAAATGAGGTAAATTTGTTAATTGTGTCCCACCGGATTTGTGAAAATTTGATTGAAGATTTTCCTTTGTCTCCGTTATTTTCACTGTGGAAATACGATATCCTATTTCGCCATGTTGTCATTCCATTGCTTACGAAAACATTGACAATTCAACGTGTACAAAGTCTGCTGTATACCTACATAGTTTTTATTTATGGCTAGTCCACGAACTTCTCTATTACCCAATATATAAATATTGGAGAAAATCTGGAGACCCCCTCCTCCTCAATAAATTTGTAATTAACAATATTCAATTATAATTGTTATTTAAACAGCATCATATGATCCGTTAAGCTCCTGAAATTATACATTGTTCGTTCACTTGTAAGTTATGTTTCTACAGTATATAATTTTTTTGTCCATAATGATTGATTTCTTTACTAGTGGTACAGTTGTAGTAAATGATACTGATTAAAAAACAGCTTGAAAAAAGTGTCAAGTGAAGATGCACATTAAAAAATAATGTCTAAAGAATTTAACAATTTAAAAAACATGTACAATAAAGTAAAATTCATTTTATTTTTTTCAATGGTGAGGGTTTTAAAAAATATTTTGATGACTAATCTATCCTATTCTTGCATCACTTCTCCAGTACATCTTCTGAGGAAATGATATTTTATAAATAAGTTCCTGAGGGTTCCCATCTGTGTTCATGTTCTTATTTGTCAGTCAAGATCAATGTTCATGAGTAACATTGCTATATGCATATTATTTCGCGTTATAACGCGAAAGTAACGCCTTTATTCCTGAAAGTTTCGGGTTATAACGCAAAAGTTTCGCGTTTTATCGCGAAAGTTTTGCGTTATATCGCGAAAGTTTCGCGTTTTAACGCGAACGTTTAGCGTTTATTCGCGAACATTTCCCGTTATAACTCGAAAGTTACGAATTTTATCGCGAAAGTTTTGCGTTATATCGCGAAAGTTTCGCGTTATATTGCGAAAGTGACGCGTTATAACACGAAAATTTTTTTTTTACTTACGAAAATGAGCTCATTGGTCTTTCGTAATTATGCAAATTTGTTTTTTAACCCAGGAAAAATCCTGAATGTTGATGGAATAAAAAAAATATGTCATAAGAGAGTTATGCATGTGTGTACAAATAGTACAGGCAGTATAAGAATGACAGAGATTATGTCGGATGAGGACAATCTGTGAAGAAACGGTTTATTTATAAAATTATTAAACAAAGTTGGAATGTCAAGGAAGGAAATACATGTAAACATTTAAGAGTTGCTTATCCCGCGAAAGCAGAGTTAATTAAAATTTGAACAAAAGAAA